TTATTCGCTCTGAATTAATATTGAGCTCTCAGGATTTCATACTCCTTGAGATTATCTATACGGATTATCAAGTTTTTCGTTACTTAACTCTATATATATTCTCCCTCTAATAAGGCTATTGTGGACTTTTCCACTTGCTATAAAGTTAGTAGGAAAAGTAGGCTTCGGGGGAACTCTGGTAAACCGATACACACTCCCAAATTGTGTAACACACTTTTGTTGTATTTACTGTTCAATATACTATTTATCTGCAACCTCTTGTTTTGTTATTTCTTAACTATTACTTGGTCACAACATATATATGATAAAATAAAAATGATTTTAATAAAATAATAAACTTTTTATATATATATATATATATATATATATATATATATATATATATATATATATATATATATGATAAAAATATAGTTTTAAGGTATGCTATATTTATTGGTTAAAATGCTCAATATCAGGATTACAGAGTATGTAAACATAAAATAGACATTAAAGTCAACACCCAGTCGTGACAGTCTGTTCCATGCTAAACACAATCATCAGGTCATGTGCGTTGCGTTTTTGCCCGACTATTTATATATACAGCTCAGTAATGCATTCTATTGTATTGCATTGTGGGTAGTCTATTTTATTATTCTAACGGTTATTTTTATAGGTGGTAACGGTTTCGAATTATTCTAGGGGTCATTGAGTGGGAATAACTGTGTGTCCGAATGCAGTTTTTGGTTATTTATACTGTTGTTAGTCAACATCTTATTTATTATTTATTAGTTTATTGTTCCTTGTTATGACTACTTTCTCTCGTGCTTATTTATTCTTACATGGTTTGTATATATATATAGTCATCCACAGATAGACTGTTTCGCTGTATCACAGCTCCTCAGTGTGGCTAGACATCCGATTGCTTAAAGCCGGGATCGAAACCCGACTGATTCGACCCCAGCCAGATATCTTACTCCTAGACCACCGTCTTACGAAAGGAAGGGAATTTTTAATGTTATTCCTCTGTACGAAATACGCCAGCGGCTCGGAGAATTCGTACTTGAAGAATAATGTTTAATAGCAATAGAAGCCACTGTTTTTAAAAACCCCTTTCTTTCGAGAGCACAACTGGGTTTCCGGGAGCATATATATATATATATATATATATATATATATATGACTGAATAAATTACAGACATTATGTCTGCTTATTTTTAACAAAATCCGATGATGAAATCTTGGAAGAAGATCGAAATTACTTGGGAAATGAAAATAAAAGAAATTTAAACATTTCTCTCATCCTTTAACGTCAATACACGGAAGGTTATTTGTGAGTATGAACGGATATTGTTAAAAATTATTCAGCCAGACATGACACCGAAAAGAGAATTTGCTGCCTAAATACACAAATATATATATATATATATATATATATATATATATATATATATATATATATAATTATTTTTATAAAAAAAAAATTTATAACATAAGTATGTTATAAAATCACTACAAAATAGCCATTTTGTTTCAACACACTCTGTGTCTTATCAAGTGATCTATTGTTGGTTATTGAATTCATTCCGTATATACCAATTATATACTTGTATATATATATATATATATATATATATATATATATATAGGAAGAGAGAATTAAATATGGGAGAATGTTTAGTATGATGAATACAAATCTTGAATTAACAACTCTACGGACAGAACAGACCTAAGTTAGAGACGGTCAGGAAGGAATATAAAGAATATATGTCAATGCAGCAATAATCCAAATATAGAAAGAAAAAGGTCATTTTCAGAAGGAATAATAACATGAAAGAAACTTAACAAAAAAAGAGGAACGAAACTTAATAACTGCTGCACTACGACTGTTGGAATCCTATAAATGAAATACGAAATTTCAACTTTTCTTATTAATAACTGCATTGTTTATTTCCAGGTAAACTGACATCTGTTTGTCCAAATAAGACTCTTTATCTTGTTGGTCAAAATGTCATCAACAGCTGATATGATGTCATCGTTCCCAGGAAAGTGTTTTTTTTTCATGTTGGGGAACAGATGATAGTCAAGACAGAAGAATACGGAGGGTGATCATCCAGTTCAAAGCTACATTCACTCAGATCAGCCATTGTAATCAAAATTGAAGCATCGTCTTGATGAAACAAGATCCCTTGTAAGTCGCTGCTTGTTAATTTAGATGTCTTCTTTGAACAGTCAGATGTCAGTTTTCCTGTAAATATACAATGCAGTTATTAATAAGAATAGTTGAAATACATGCATGCAAGATTCCACATATCTAGCGTTATTCTTTTGTAGTCCAGCAATGAACTTTTCAGCCCACGCTCATATGTTAAAGAATATGCTACAGAATAGGTTGTCAACTTTTGTATTATTTAACCACCCGTTTTGGTTTATATAGGTGTTATTATGAAATGGACAAAGTCCGACAATTATTTTAAGACATTTTTATGTTTATACATTCTTTTAATAGATACAAATATTTAAGCAAATGCTCTGTTTATAATAAACAGTATTAAACAACATTTACCGGCCTGAATTTCCAGAAATTTTCATAGAAAATATTCGTCCATTATTTACATTATTCGGACTATTGTCCTCATCTTGTACGCCCCGGCCTTCTTCAGGAACTGAAACCTTTATTTCGCTCACTGGGGTAGACTGTTCTAGTTCCACGTGCCATGTTTGATGGTTATCTCCTGTTAATTCCCCTCTGAAATTTCTCCATTTTTGAACTCACACTCTTTGGGTCCTGTCACTGGATCTAACCAACGCCTTTATCCACTGTGCAATGTGTCCTTGAGGACATCTGGGTATGAATTTCTGGGTATTATAAACCTAATGTCTTCAGCCTCTTTTTTTACCAGTGCTCATATTGCAATTTTGCTGTTATCATTGCATGTTTTTATCAGAGCTCATATTGCAACTTTTTGTTGTTAACATTGCTTTTGAGCAAAATAAAGGGTTCAGTTCGAAATTCTAACCACCTGAAGAAGGCCGGGGCGTACAACAGCCGAAACGTTGTGATAAACATGGCTGCAAAGATGAGGACAACAGTTCGAATAATGTAAATAATGTACATAATACCTCATCTCAGAAATATAGACAGACCCAAAATATTAGTCCTCCGACAGGATTCGAACCTGTATCCTATACGGAACCGTCATTTAGCTAACCAAAAGCTCCTCTGTGGCCAAATTGGTAAAGGCACGTCAAGCTAAATGACAGTTCCGTATAAGATTCAGGTTCGAATCCTGTCGGAGGACGAATATTTTCTATGAAAATTTCTCGGACATTCAGGCCGGTAAATGTTGTTTAATACTGTTTATTATAAACAGAGCATTTACTTAAATATCTGTATCTATAAAAAAGAATGTATAAATACGTGTTATTATATACATCATCATATCTATTATGCCTTGGCTCTTTATTTATGCGCTGTTTTGTTCATTTGATGCTAGATCCAAGGATTGAACTCACTAACTGATCCAAGGATTGAACTCACAATCTCTAACTGGTGTATGTTAGAGTATTTTAAGTTCACTTTCATATGGTTTCGACATTTAGTTGCCATGTTGGGTTCGTACCGCTTTTCATAATCGATTATTTCATTTTTGAAATAACTGTAAATATACTGTAATAAAGAAAAAACGGTTGAGTCTATAATAATAAATAAAGGTTGTGTCTATAATAATAAATAAAGGTTGTGTCTATAATAATAAAAAAAGGCTGTGTCTATAATAATACTTCTGTTAACCGAGAAAAGAACAGTGGTCCATAATAATAAAAGGCCTATTGACATTTACTCAAAAATGAAATGCTAAATTATGTAAACATTTGTTTGATTATTAATGTTGAATTATGTACGGGCTGCCTAGTGATGATCGAAATCACAACCAATAGTAAAGGTGACCCGGGTTAGACTCAGTAACCAATACGCAACGCAACGTAATACGTAAAGCTAGAGCTAATAAAATAATAATAATAATAATGTTGATTTGCTGTACATATTTACAAAAGTTAACTTCTCTCTGGTATAAGGCTACAGTAGGGAAACAATCAATATGATGATCGAACAGAGAAAATGATGCTCTCGAATAACTTGTGTACAATCTTTTATAACATACATTGTACACGATGTATCACTGTGTATTTATGCATATACAAGCGTGCATACGTTTATGCGCAGATACATATTCATATATGCATTCAGTTGTAATATATTCATTATCTACACAGTCGTATGTATTCTCTATACAAAATCAAATGAAGAGATAGCATTCTGTCGACACTGCCTATTTTATTCTTCTTCAATATATTAGGATTCCTCGGGGCGAAATCCAAGATGGCTAACCGAGAAAGAAACGCGGGTGTGTCAGAGAGGGTTAGCTGCATACGCTAGCTTATAAATTGAAATAAGGACTGGGGTTGGTTGGACATGATTATGGACGGATGGAAAATGGCGATGGAGAATGAAAATCAAGGACGAGCAAACAAGAGAAGACACTGAGAAACGGACAAAGCAAATGTATGAGAACGAAAAGAAAAATGGCAAACAGAAAAACAGGTATAAAAAAAATTAAAAAAAAATCTTTTTAAAAAAAAAGGAAGAAAATGGGAAATTAGAAAAAAAGGTGGGGATAAAACAATGTTCACCATAAACACAAAAATGGAAAGAAATGAATGAAGGCGAGAAGATAAAACATATAAAAAGTGAAATTAAAAATAGTAATTCGCAATATGAAAAAAGGAGAATATAAAAATGCATAAAGTAAGAACAAAAATTTAAACTTCGTGTGAAATAAAGATATAAGACCTTAAAAGAAAGAAAGAGGGGATAAATAGATAGACTGATACATGCATACATACAAATGTATCTACATACATACATGCATACATACATGTAGACATGGGTACATATGAAAATCAATAGAGATGAACAGAATGAAGTAGATAGATAGCTAGATAGAGAGAGAGATGTAAAGTTATATCACGTAAATAGAAAAGAAAGAAAGAAAGAAAGAAAGAAGGGTATAAAACGTCAATAGATAGATAGATAGATACATAGATAGATAGATAGAAGGGTACAACACGTAAATAGAAAGAAAGAATAGTATAACTCTTAGAAAGAAAGAACAGATAGATAGATAGAGAGAGAGATGTAGAGTTATATCACGTAAATAGAAAAGAAAGAAAGAAAGAAGGGTATAAAACGCCAATAGATAGATAGATAGATAGATAGATAGATAGATAGATAGATAGATAGAAGCGTACAACACGTAAATAGAAAGAAAGAAAGAAAGAAAGAAAGAAAGAATAGTATAACTCTTAGAAAGAAAGAACAGATAGATAGATAGATAGATAGATAGATAGATAGATAGATAGATAGATAGATAGAGAGAGAGAGAGAGAGAGAGAGAGAGAGAGAGATGTAAAGGTATATCACGTAAATAGAAAAGAAAGAAAGAAAGAAAGAGAGAGAGAGAATCATTTAAGAGGAAATAAGGAATGTTGGCAGAGTGGCAGGAACTAACGATCGATCAGACGACAAGAATGGAATACGCAATAAAAAATCAAATACAATTAAATAAAATTTCAGCGACGAGGCAAACATTTAAGGATAAAATAGGCATAAGATTATAAGAAGGAACCAATCGATGATGAAGAAAATGACGAAAACATTGAGGGTTACAAGGATTAATGTAAATATGATAATTACGAAGGAGAATTGAAAAAAAGTTACCAACGAAATGAGAAATTCATTCAAATGTGTTCTTATTCGTAGATATTGCTGAACTCAAAACGAAGAAAAAAGAAAGAGTAAAACATTCAGAAAAGTCATTTGTTGAAAGAAAAAAGTTTAAACATTCATAAAAGTCATATATTGAAAGAAAGAAAGAAAGAAAGAAAGAAAGAAAGAAAGATTAAACGTTCAGAGCCAGCCATGTGCCCAAGGAAAGAAAAAATGAAAGAAAGGATAAACGTTCAGAAAAGCCATATGTTTAAAGAAAGAAAGAAAGAAAGAAAGAAAGAAAGAAAGTGTAAACGTTCAGAAAAGCCATATGTGTAAGGGAAAAAGAAAGAAAGAAAAAAGAAAGAAAAAAGGGTAAACTTTCAGAGAAGCCATATATTGAATAAAAGTGAGAGAGAAAGGGTAAACGTTCAGAACAGCCATATGTTTATGGAAAGAAAGAAAGAAAGAAAGAAAGAAAGAAAGAAAGAAAGAAAGAAAGAAAGAAAGGGTAAACGTTCAGAAAAGCCATATGTTGAAACAAAGAAAGCAAGAAAGAAAGAGTTTAAAAAAAAAATGTATAAACGTTCAAATTCATAACACGCTGAAAGAAAGAAAGAAAAGAAAGAAAGAAAGAATAGGTGATGGTTAAAGTTGTAGGAAACACTCTGTTTGAGTGCGCATACGTGACGAAAAAGTTTGACAAGTGAAAGAAGTTAGCTATTCGGGCAAGTGTGGCTGTTCGTTTGTATTCTATTGATTATCATTGTCACAGAAGCGCAAAGGAACTGGCGTAAAATTTTGTAATTGTATATGCAGTTTTCAAGAGTTGGGATAAACTGGATGCGGTGTTCGAACAGTAAGGATAAAAACAACTATATGTTTCGGTTAGGGCAGTAATTCTTGTTTTTTTTTTTTTGTTTTGTTTTGTTTTCTTTGTTTGGGGGGGGGGTGAGAAAACATTTTTAAGATGTATCCATTCTTTATTGTTTTATGACAAAGCAAACCAAGAACGTTTCAACTTAAACCAACATATACATAAAAAAGAGAATTGAGAATGACAAGAAGAAAGTAGAAGACATAGAGGAAAAGGAAAGCGTAAAATAAAGAGAGACAGAAGAAAGAAAATGGATGAAAAAAATAAAAGGAAGCAGGCTATAAGCTATTGACAAGAGAGAAGAAAAGAAAAGTCATTTCGTGAAAGAAACGATATGACAAAGAATGGGAAATCGGTAAACGAGGAAGAGAATATATATATATATATATATATATATATATATATATATATATATATATATATATATGTAAAAAAAATAGCTTGCCACTTAGAAACAATTGAAATACTGATAAGTATACGATAATACATTCTCAATGCGTAAAATAACTGTTTATTCACTTCTGGATAGTGTTAAATAAAAAGTTGACCGAAACAAGGGTTTCAGGTCTCTCATCGAAAATTCGATCTTCTTCTTGTAACGATTGGAGGCATTCTGTCTCTCTACGTGTAGAAGGGAGGCGTTTATTTCAATATTAATATTTAAGATAACGAAGTAAGGCAAAATAATCGCATACTGACTTATTCGGAACGAGAAAAAGAAAATAAAGAAAGAAGGAAAATTTAAAATTTGTGAAAAGCGTATAAGATGTTAAACGAAGAAAAGAAAGAATATATAAATTTACTGAATTAAATATGGAAGACTAAGAGAAAAACTTTCGATTTTAATACTGAAGTTTGTTTGAAAAAAATACGATAAAAATGGACAAAATAAATACTTTGGCTTATTTGTAGTGATGATTTTAATTCTTCTTATTTTACTTATATATATATATATTAAATATTTATCATTTTCTTCTTTAATATATATCATTTATTTTTTATATTTTTTCTTTTGTGTATTATTGTTAGGGTGGGGGGGTTCTATGTTTTGGTATTTGGAATAAAGTTAATTAGATATAGGTTATACGTCTTTATTTAGTCTCTTGGTGATTGTAGCATATCTACGGATGATAATCGGTATGTCCTCATTCACGTGAATACAGTAGTAAATACTTTATGTTAGTCTACAGTTGGAGATTCGTCTCCAGCTGTCCTAGTTAAACTCTCTGACTCCGGACAGAGAGGATCCACAGACGAGGCTATGTCGAGGGGCACAGCTACCGACCCCGTTTTAAACTGGGTCTACGGGCATTTTTTTGGCCGAGCCTACGGGCTCGGATACACCACATTAAATTAAGCCTTGTGTCACATCTGACTGCGTGGTGTGGTTGGTAGATATCCTGCAGTTGGAGATGCATTGTAGAATTCACCTGACTCACTTCTAACAGTTGACGACTTCTTCTACGCGCCGCTGGCGAAACTTATATGTGTTGTTCTTGTCCTAAGTATTATCGTTCATTACAACCATCGTGTGAGTATTCTATTCAGTAACCTTCCCTCGGTTACAGCAGTGATGATGTGGCTATAGGTAGCGTAGTAGGAATTTTATTGTGTTTGCGTTTGGGAATGAGTTCTGATCTTTTGATTAAGGGTTTATCTTGTTCAAGAAAGCTAATTGTCACTCTTTTCTTCTCTATGCAAACTTTAACCGTTTTCAGGTGTCGTCGCAAGCTGGTGATGTTTATATTCCATGTTATTATTTTTTTATTTTCCATATTTGTGTTGAAATATATATGCTGGCTTCATATTTGTCTGGTTAAATGAGGTTTTCTGTGAGTTACTTCTCTGATACTTATGACATTCTGGACTCTCTATATAGCTTTTCTGCATCACCATCGCATTATACTGTAGCTTCATCTTCATCTTTCACTTAGAAATATCTTAAAGAAATACACTACCACAGTCGACCCGAACAAGAAATTTAAATTATCTATCACAAAATATTTAAAACAGCTAACCTTGTCATCAAAAATGCTAATTATTTACGAGATCAAATGACTCAAGTAATTGTCTTCCTGATCAAACCAAACTCATAACTAATTACATCGGTCACACTACTACATGCCTATCCAGACGACTTACCTTACACATATCCCACCGTAGCTCCATTAGGACTCGTTTAAAGGCACACAAAACCTACCAGACTCCATCCGAAACATACTAGTAGAAGATACAAGCATAATAACCCCAGCCACATGTAAAAAATAACATTTAAAACAATGAAAGTCCTAATAATAAAAAAGGAAAAAGCCAACATTAAGTAACATTAACTATGAACACGTTCACAATATGCTGGCCGTCTTCTGAAAATAGAACATTCCTTTAACCCTAGATACATGCATAACACAACACATACATTCAGTTAAAAGTAAAAATAAAATCATCCTTGATAAGGCCTTAAAATATCGCCGAAAGCGCTCGGATATGCAGAAATTTTGGACAGTTTTTACATACTTTGTGTCCAGAAAAGAAAACACTTGTATGAACACAGGAAAAATTAAATAAAGAGCTTAATCGCAGTACCATATCAGTAGTCTTTAACGAAATATGTATAAAAGATGGAATGTTGCCTAATTACACAATATCTACAAATATATATATGTGTGTGTGTGTATGTGTGTGTATTATTAAGTTGTTCGAAAAATCATTATAAAATAAAAATTCTATTTTAGAATAAACCTGTTTAATTATATTTTAATATATTATTTTCCTTCTTACACAAAAATATGTTGCGCATTCCTAATGATTAAAACGTTCATTCTCTTTCAGAATTTAACTTAAAACATCATATGCCTCCTCCAGTTGACCAGACAAAAGATGAGATATTTCAAACTTGGTCACAATTATGGTAAAAAGTTATAGTGGTCGAGAACATGACCAACGCATTCATCTGTATTGGTCAGCCGCCCACTAAGTAGAAAATAGCGGCTATATTCATTTTGAATATTCACAAATTAAATACATGCATATATATATATATTTATATATGTGTGTGTGTGTGTGTGTGTGTGTGTGTGTGTGTGTGTGTGTGTGTGTGTGTGTGTAGGTGCATGTGTGTGTGCATTTTTGTATGTGTTTTTATAAATATTTATAAATAAAACCATTCAAATATAAATAACTTCAACCATTTTTCAACATCATCGTTAAATACTTCATTATTTCTTTGTATTTACTCTTTTTTTTTATTCAAATAAATTTTACATTTGAGTTTCCATTCTTTTCTTTTTGTTTTATTGTTTAAGTTTTATTCATTCATTTATTTTCGTATTTTATTTGGACGCATTGGACTTCTGTCCTCATTACCAGGAACGGGATATCTCATTCACGTTTCTTTCTTGAGTTCTACGCCTATGATATTACACGTTAACGTTCGTATGTTTGTGTATTTACACTTTTTGCCAGTTATTTTTTATCGTTCTCTGTGCCTTCGTTATTTTCGTGATTTGCGTACGTTTGAACATTTCAATTCACCTTGTAATGTGTGGCGATGTTCCAACACGATCATTTTATTTTCAAAATGGCGGAATCTACATTATTTTTAAGCGAAAAGTAAACAAAAAAATGACAGCGCAGAATTTTCTTTTTCCATATCTCATTATTGATTCTACTCTTCTGATTATTGTTCCTATACTTAGATCAGCTTTAGATTTTACAGCTTCTTTTTCTCTCGTTTTCGTTTTTGACATTTGTCCTTGCACCAATGCCAGATCAATACGAGCAAAAACGAATTCCTTTTGCAAATCTAAACTTTACAAATAATGAAAGCACACAAATCTTAATTAGCTCCTCCGTTCACTGCCAATTTTATAAAAGTTTCTGTTTTCTTTGAGATTTTGTCTTTTATTCACGATTACGCTTTGATTTTACTGGCTTGCTGTATTTTTTTAATTTTTTTTTTTTGTTTAAATCAGGAAAAGCTTTTTTAAGATTATCAAAAGACCGACCCTTCAACTTGTATTTTTAGCTTATACTTATATATTGATTATCTTTACTTATTTATACAAAGAATATATATATATATACACAGATGATAGTATATTTTACTTTTAAATATTTGTCTACATTTTAGGTAAATAAAACGAACTTTTTTTTTCTTTCTTTTTTTAATCATTTCATCCCAAGCAAAGCAAAGCAAATGCCCCTAGGATGTAGTGAGGGAGTGAAGACTTTAATGAGGAGAAACGACAATACAGAAACAGGATTTAGGAACACAGTAGACGGCGATTGACGTGACATTTAATTTTTTGAAGACTATAGGTAGCAGGGAAACAAGGAATCGGAGGTGAGAAGTGCGAGAAAATAACCTATTAGAATAGAACTGTCGGCTGCATCTAAATATTTCTACAGTAAAACGGTGAGACATACTTGCCAATTTAACAGCACTCTTAAATTCCTGCAGTCGAGGCCCAAAGGAGAAAAGCATATGGGAGCAATTGACATGAAAATATTTGTAGAAAAGACAATGAAGCCGAGATGCCAGGTTAGGATTGATTATATTACAGAGCCTTCCTTGAATGTTGTCAAGAATCTCGAGATGTATTGTGGGAGCAGCAGATTCACTTATGAATGTTTGTTTACAAAAACCACATTTTCTTTAAAATGCGTCATTTTATGGCATAAACTTGCTTGCATTTGTCATTCATTAAAATGTTATTTTATTTTACGTCCTGAAATAAACTTTCGCTAGAAAAGAATCAATTATGTTTCACAAAAATACATTTTTTTTACATTCCTAAATCCTGTTTCTGTCTTTTCTCTTCATTAAAGTCCTCACTCCTTCACTTCGTCCTATTGGCATTATCGCTTTGCTTGGGATGAAATGATTAAAAAAAAAAGTTCGTTTTATTTATCTAAAATGTAGACAAATATTTAAAAGTAAAATATACTATCAACTGTGTTTATATATTCTTTTATATATATATATATATATATATATATATATATATATATATATATATATATGTGTGTGTGTGTGTGTGTGTGTGTGTGTGTGTGTGTCTGCGTGCGTGTGCGTGCAGGTGATGCAATGGGTATCTGGTCTGAATGAGAATTCGAAGGAGCAGTTCAAATTCCATGTGAGTTTTGCATTCACTTACGTGCAAATACCCTTGGGAAAAGTATAAATCCATCTTTTCTTACCCCTAAGTATGGGCAAAATAGTAGTGCAGACTGGGATCCTTAGCCGTTGCTTGGGCATGGGACAAGTAAATCCATCATGTAAAACCTAATTAACAATGTCTAGCGTATAGAGAGAATATGACCCATCTTCCTTAGGGAGTTTACGGTCGTGTGTGTGAGTTAGTGCTTTATTCATACACGCACACACACACACACACACAGACACACACAAACACACACACACATATATATATATATATATGTGTGTGTGTGTGCGTGTGACACTCACGTGGTCATGTGTGACGTCATGTGGTGCGGTGCGATTTTCGCTTCCAGCGTCGTGTATGCACGAGTTTGTCGTTGCTTGGAAATCTTCCATGTAAACATAAACAGACTATCATTATTGTCTTGCCCGTGTATTGCTTAATATATTGTAATGTAATTGTCATCTTTGATAATGGCTTATGTAAGCCGAAAGCTTAGATAGGATTAAAAAATATGTATCAATATTGTGATTTTCTTTCTTCTTTTAATGATAATGTTCTTAAGCTTATCAGACGATATGAAAAGAATTTACATAAAATAAATATACAAAACTGGTCTATATTATTTAATGAAACATCTCTCTCTCTCTCTCTCTCTCTATATATATATATATATATATATATATATATATATAATAAAGACAGTGAAAATTGGGAAAAACGGCTGTCAATTACTGACGCCTTCTGAGGAGTAGACTGAACAAATACGGAAAAGATCGTCGACGAAACTCTGAAGTCGATATGTTTATAAAACATTAATTAGCTAAGTCACAAATGTTGTATGTATACGCTCTCGTTATTCGATCGAGCACTATAAGGAAAAACGTAATTTCAAACAGTAGCTGTCGTTGCCGCTATTAACACGCCGCTCTTCATTAATGAATTGAGCCCTCTGGCTGCTGGCGTTTGTATATATCCGTATATAATACGTTAAAATTTCACTCTCTGATATGCCAAATCAGTCAGGTTTCGATCCCGGCTTGAAGCAATCGGATGTCTATCGACACTGGTGATCTGTGATGCAGTGAAACAGGCTTGTATGTAGATGACTATATTACGTTCTCGTTATATATATATATATATATATATATATATATATATATATATATATGGAGGGGGGTGTATAAATATAAATATATATAAATATATATATATAATTATTTATATATTATATGCGGTACTTATTAGAAAGCGCTCAATATCACAGATAGAACTAACATATTGTTTTGGATTGATGTGAGTTTGTGACCCTGGGTTTCACGCTTTTGCGATCATCAGACAAACTCTGACGATCGCAAAAGCGTGGAACTCAATCAATCAAATATATATATATATATATATATATATATATATATATATATATATATATATATATATCGAACAATTCATGAGACATCGTTGTAGTTAAGGCCTGGTATTCGTTACGTCTTATGGACGGATTTAACCTAGTAGAAAATCATTCAAAGAAATTATATATATATATATATATATATATATATATATATATATATTATTTATTTAAAAATATGATTCCAATTCGCGACATAAGAGGTTTCATGTTTCAAAACAAGAGCCGAAAAACTTCAATATAATTATGTTGCGAATTGGAATCATATTTTAAATAAATAATTATATTTATGCTCTACTTTTGTATCGAGCACTATTTTTTTAAAT